ACTACAATGGGGAAATGGTCAGACCAGTACGAATCATACAAAATCGACGTACTTACAACAGTTTGCCTCGCAGCACCAGTTCCAATACAGTGGTCGAGCCACCGCCGGCAGCCATGCGCCTCGCTCACATATGTGTATGAGTCAGAGGGCAAGAGTTCCAAATCAATACAAGACCAACACTGATCCGCACAAAACTGTGTAAGTTCTACAGCAAACGGCTCCCCTGGATGGGAGTTGAAGTCACCTAATAAAAACACCGTTTCGATTTCCTGACTCTCAATTACCGCACTAATCTCCGCAAGACAATCCGTGAAATCGACCATGTTGTCACTACAGTCTGTCGGCATGTACACGGAAAATATCAATAATGCGCGATCCTGCAACGCTACCTTAATAGCAGCCAACCGAGCATTTTTACACTCAACCACAGATACTACGGCGGATATGTCTCTCCTCCACAATAGCGCTACCCCACCATAAGGCCGTCCTCGGAGTACACCTGCAGATGTATCCACAGCAGAGGTCCCCGTGAAAGCGAAACGATCATCGATGCTTCCCAAATAGGCCAAATCGTGCGGCAGCAGCCAGGTCTCCTGCAGCGCGATGACATCAGCTACTTTACATAGTTTTCTTACACACTCAACTGATCTAGCTATATTTTTACAATTAAAAGTCAAAAGTCGCATACTGGTCATGAGATATTAATAATCACGAAAGTTCTCTCCAATTAGTCATCGTTATCAGGCCCTTTGTACTTAAAATTGACAAAACGCCTATACGCTATTCCATCCGGCCAGAACTCTTCTGACATAAACAAGCTCAACTTATGTTTAGGTACAAATATTTTGTACGAGTCATAGTCCTTAGGCCGCTTCATGTTCATTTTTTCTATTGTTACGCATAAGCTAGTTTTGCGCTGAATGTATCTATTGATCTGACACACTGTCACTTCCTTTGATACATTATAAATATAAATTGGAATTTTCACTTCAGCGGCCTTAAAACAACCTTCCGCATCGGTAGCACTACCTCTATTTCCCACAAAGCGGTTTCTCAATTTTCTTTTTTGATAAACAATCCATTCATCATTTTTTTCTGGCTTCTTCCACTCGCCTTCGCGCACAATATCTGCTAGCGTTCTTTGTTTACGTTCACTCTCGCCGACAGCGCGGGCGGCCGCGCGACTCCGCTCCAACGCCGACGTAATATTCGGAGCGGGCGCAGGCACACGAGCCGGCATACGTGCCGGCGCAGGCGACGGCGGCCGCTGAGGCGGGGTCGTTGCCCGCGCCCGCTCCGAATATTACGTAGTGACATGTCAAGGAATATAAAAAAGCTAAATATGAAGCATTTGGCCAGACCGGCAAAATGATAGTGACGGAGTGAAGATATTTGTGTTTTCCATCCGTTACTCTCATCTCTGGACTGTATTCGCACTTTCCATCAGGCGCGGGGCAGTCATTTTGCCGAGTCACAATAAAAAAAAAAAAAAAAAAAAAAAAAAAAAC